ACCTTCCTTCTGAGGAGTGGCTGGTGGGTTTGAACCAGTAGCCTTCTGGTTAGCAGTGCCTTAGGCACTATGCTACCAGAGCTCCTGTTAGGGAAGTTAACAGGCTACAATTCAGGTTCAGGAATGCACTCAGGATATAATTCTTCCATCAGGACCGCCTCCCCTCTGCCATGCCCTCAGGCACACCTCTCTGGCCCTTGGCCTCTGGGCTTGGTGTCTGCCCTGCTCCAGCAAGTGTGTTACAGAGCTTTTGTAACTCTGTCGATAGGTGTGTGTACGCGTACCCCACTCCGCCAGCATGCCTCCTGCCCAGTGGCACTCAGCTTTCTTGCTCCATGGGCCAGCAAGCCCACTGCTAAATCTCGTGCCTCTTGGTTCCACTGCTGCCTTCTCTCTGCCAAGGTGCTCTCTGCTGGGGCATCTCTGCCAAGGAGTCCAGTGCAGGGATCTTGGGTCCAAGGATGTTCTCCACTTCACCTCCAGCTCTTCTCTCTTGATGGCAGCGAGAGCCCCTCTTCTGCCTCTAGGAGGGCTCATTCGAAGGCTGGCGGAATGACAAAACTAACCAGTTGCAACATTAGAGTTCCATATACCTTATTTGCCTGGTCCCACTCAATATGGCGGGAGTCATAAAGACCATGGCTAGAGAAGCCATACCAAGTAATTCATTGCACGACAACCTACAAATGTTTTAGACTCTATTTTCAGAGCCTAAAAAACAAACAGAACCCCCACTAGTTGCCGTGGAGTTAACTGACCCACGGTGACCCCACGCGTGTCAGAGTGGAACTGGTCTCCACCGGGTTTTGTGGCTGATTTTTTGGACGTAGATCACCAGGACTCTCTTGCAAGGTGCCTCTGGGTGGGCTTGGAGCTCCAACATTTTGGTTAGCAGTAGAGCACTTAACTATTGCATCTTGTATTTAGTATACTCGAAAGAGCCAAATCTGAAATGAGGTCGAGTCTATTTTAACTCTATTTTTTTAAAGGCAAGTGTCTTAAATGAGGAAGAATGATACTCCTCCATATCATCACTGTGAATTCCCAACTACTGTGTGATATGAATTAATAACGATTTCCAATTATGCTTTTGACAGGAGCTGTTAAGGCTGTGGAAGCATGAATGTAAACGTGTCATAGCTGACCGGTTCACGGTGTCTGAGGATGCAGCCTGGTTTGATGAGGCTTTAGTCAGTTTGGTGGAGGAGGAGTTTGGTGAAGAGAAAAAACTTATTGTCGATTGTGGAATTGATGCTTATTTTGTGGATTTCTTGAGGGATGCGCCTGAAGCTGCAGGTAACTATTGGAGCCTAATTAGAAAGTAGTATTTCCCAAAGGGATATCTGAAGACAGCGGGTTCAGTTTAAGGATGCTGAATTTCTGAGTAGTAAATTTTACTGAAACCAACTTGGAGTATATTAGGTGCTCAACAAATATTTAAGAGTGAGTAGATAAATGCATGCTCATTTTGTTCGAACGAGTAAGTATTTATATATATATATTAGTCTTGGGTGTTAAAGTGGGCTGTCTGAAACCAAACCAAACTCATTGTCATTGAGTCAATTGTGACTCATAGCAACCCCAATTGGGTTTCAAAGGCTGTAAATCTTTATGGAAGTATAATCACCTCATCTTCTTTCTGTGGAGGGGCTGATGGGTTTGAACTGCTGACTTTTTGGTTAGCAGCCAAATGCCTTTTCCACTTCACCACCAAGAGAGACCACAGGATTTATAGTCTGCCCAACAGACATAGATTTAGAGTAGGACTCTACCACACATTAGCTGGGCAAATCTCTGAACTGTCTTGAACCTCACGCTCCTAATTTATGAATAGGGAAGTATAATGTAAACATCAGAGAGTACAGTGGGCAATAAATGAAACCTCATCAGTACAACGGCCTGGGGGGTGTCAGGGAAATAAGAATGAAAAACAAAACCTACTCTCAGCCCAGAAAACAACCCAGGAAACCTCTTTACAAAAATAGAGAGAAAATAAACATAGGTTATTGAATAAACATTAAACCAGAATGAGATGCATCCCAGGTAATCCTAAAGAGTTTGCAAAGATGAAAGAAGCCTGACCCTTTATATGACAGAGTGGATACAACCCATGACTCATGTTTAAGATAAAATTGCTTGTTCTCTAGCATTATCTTTTCGGCAGGATGTGTGAAGTTAGGGGAATCTCCTTCTAGGACCTTGGTGATATGGATGGGAGCTTCCTTGATTATTACATTGGGAGATGTTTCAAATAAAAAAGAGAAAAGATGGCTCCCAGGTCCTTGAGGAAATATTCTTAGGTTTACAAACTTAAAAAAAGGGAGAAAAATTTGTAATGACAAGGTACCTGAAGTGAATTCTGCAAGAACAAGGGAGTATCAGAACCTGTTCCCTGATTTTCAACAAGAGAAGTAAACCCTTTTATTTTCAGTTTGTCCTTACAGTACCCTGTGGCCCATAAAACCAAAAACCAACTCATTGCCA